CAATAACATTGCAAATTTTATGCATATAAGCTCAATACTAGTTCATCCTTACATACATACATGCATACACATTTATTATGTAGATCTCGAGACAAAGCAATATGCAAAACTAATACAAAATCTTGAAATGTCACAAAATCTTTTACTATATATGAGCTCCACAAAAAAAAAAAATAAATAAAATCGATAAGCGTCAGGTAAATACTTATAGTACCAATAAACAATTATAGGAAAAAATTATCAAAAAGCTCATAGCTTACACCTATATGCGAACAGTTTTGTTAATACAATTAAAATATTGTAAATAGTTTCCTACTATATACGAGTTTATAATATAAATAAAAAATATTAGAACGCAAAGTTTATAATATGAAAAATAATTCGAATTCTATGTGATATAACAGATTTTCCTATACGCTCATGATACTCTTTAAAAGAAGAAAAATATTCTGCTTAAAAGTAAATTTCTCAAACTAGAGAGTATATGACACTTAGATTACATTAAAATGGCATATTTTGTTACAGAGCGTATCACAATCTTTGTTCAAAAATTTATAACTTAAAACTTTAACATTCAATTACAGAAATTAAAATTTAAATAACATATTGACGTTTAAAATGTCAAAGTCAAGTATACACATAATATCGAAACTAACAGTATTTACAGAAAGTTTTCTTGAAATTTCGAAAAATTTATTTAGGTTTACATGAGAATTTCAGCAAAAAAATTCTCATGTACAGAGATTAATAAAATGTTAGTTAAAACGAGAGTACGGAAGCTCTCTATTTCATATTTTGACAAGTAATTATTAACATATATTTTTTCTTATTGTTTTGCTCATTTTTCGAATGTCATTTGCTTCGTTTTTTTAAATTACTCTTCGCGAATGTTATTATTTAAGTAATAGAAATTTTCAACTATTTTTTTTTACAATTTAGAGAATTAAGTAGCTTATTACTATTATTTCTCTCCTTATTTTCACGAATTTAAATTTTTGTCTCTTTCTAAAATTTTTACAAAACAAATAAAGAAACTGACTTTAAACCATACATATCAATGACGATGACATTAATGAACAATTTATGACATTTATGACAATTAACAATGATTTAATTATTTTAATTGTCATTTTCATAATTTTAATGAATGACACAATGTAGAACGCACTCTTTTGAAAATATGAATATAATTATTAAAAATTAAATGTCAAAGAAATTTCAAAGAATAACAAAAGTTATTTATAAAAACCTATCTTAAATGTCTCTCATTTCCAATACTGTCAATCAAAAATCTTACACATAAATTATAATTACAAATATCAGTACATTGTATACCTACAAAATTTGCACTCAACAATATGTGGCGTGAATAACACACATATGAACAAAAACATTCTATATATAGAAAAATTTCGCAATTAAAATGGACGAAAATTTGAATTTTATAAATGCGTTATTGTTGAAGTATAAAAAATAACAAAAAAAAAAAAAGGAATTTTTAATCAAACTTTTGCATTTAGGCAAACATAAGAAAAGAAACAAGAAAAAATAAGAAAAATATAAATAGAAAAGGAAAAAATGCAATTTGAACGACATGCGCTACAAAATGCAACAAAAATTTTGTGTGTACACCTTTTTTTTCCAATTCAACAAATTACAAAAAAAAAAAAAAAAATTCCTTATATTAAATTTTTTTTTATACTCTGAAGAAGCCACAAAAAATAACAATAAATTGCTTTTTTTTTTCATAAAAAAGTATAAGAAAATTGTCGCCCCCTCCAATTTACCATATTTTTTTATAAGAAGCTTGTTATATATGCTTTCATATATGTATGTGTGATAAATGATAATTTTTACATATTTATAAAAATGTTCTTATAACCATTACCTACTACATTCTATAATCATAGTGCTTAATTTAAAACTAATTAACTTGTTATAGGAAAAACTGTTATAATCCTGAAAAATTTTACAAAAGATAAAGAAGAGAAAATATTAAATTAGGAGCCGCAAACTGTTAAATTATAACAGAACAATTGAATAATAAAGTATGAAAAAATCAAAATTACCGAAGATGACCGTAAAATATGCGTGTTATAATCGTATGAGTTGGTTAACAGCTTAACATTTGTTTAAGTGTTACTATGAAATTATAGTCAATAAAACAAATCTGTCAACTATCCATAATTCACAATTCATTTATGTTAGCCTGATAGAAGGGTTTGAAATAGATAATTTTGTTCTTTGTAAGCCTAAATATAAGCTTAGATCTGAACACAGCAAATATTACTTAAATTAAGATTAAAATTTTTTATACCAGGTGTTCGAGACTCGACGGTACTTACGAAACAGACTGATAGAATGCGGCCAGATGAACACCTAGTGGCATATTCCTTTATTAGGCCTTCCCTCTCGAGTTTTAGGATATCAAAGTTGATATTTTGAAAACCGTTCAATTTTTCACATTTTTATTTATAATTCAATTTTGTGTACTCATTTTAAAACTCTCGTCCAATGCAAAAAAAATCAAATTATATAATTCAAAATTTTAATATTACATATAAATTCATCGATAGAGTAGAATACCCTCCTTAGTCCTCATCGTAGAGTAGAATACCATCTTGATATCAAGGCTATGAATACAACAATAATACCTATGAGGAATCGGATCATTTAGTTAGGTAGTTATGTGGAAAGGAAATGTATAAATCCCATAAATTGCTTACTAAGACAAATATCAAGAAATTATTCAGTAATCTTGATTCTATATAGAGTTTTTTTTTAAAATAACTTAATTGAAACGAAAATTTCCACGTTGCCTGTGGAATTTTTTAAAATAGCTGAAAAGAATGTAAGAATGTAGCTTTTGAAATATAAAAATTAAAATATTTTAACTAAATTTGGAAACTAGATCAATATTCAGATTTATTAATTCTTGAAATTTAAAAGAAGGAATTTTTAATTTACAAAACGTAAATAAAATATTTTACATTATCGCATAAATTACGATTTGAAAGAAACTAAATTTACGCTTAACATCTTCCCTTTAAATTTTACGAAAGCAGCAAGCACCAAAATCTTAGGAAAATTTTAATATTCGTCCTTTCTTTTTTTAATAAAACTATTAATATTTTACGTGAATTTATCTAAAATTTTTGAATCTATATTTTTTTTTTTTGCTCATATCTTAACTGATTGACTCCTGATATTTATTAGTTTTCTAACAAAACCAACGAAAACAACAAAAACACAATAATATTAAATAAAGGATATAGAAGGACCTAGAAAAAAAATTATCGTTTTTCTTTTTTTTTTCTTTGTTCTGCTGTTTTTTCTTTTTGTATATTTTATTAAAACATTCCTATTATTGTTGACTTATTTATAATGTAACACAAACAACGCTTGTTATATAATATTAAGAATATTATAATAAATTTTAACTCATAACCTAGCTGCACATATGTGAGTATTCATGTATTGATATTACATACAAACATATGTATGTAATATATACAGTGGTTCACAATAATAAATGAATTTTTCAAAATATTTTCAATTTAAGAATTATAATTTTGTTTTATTTAAATTATTGGATACTTTTAGGACGAAGAAAAAAATTATGAACTATTGACATAGCGGGCGATCTCGATGTTGATGTAATGGACGATTAGTTAAGTTAAAACAAATAGAGTTGTTGTTTTTGGTGAAAAGGCATTTATCGTTCGTATTTTACCTTTATAGAAATTCGAAAAACTTAAAATTTCAGGAGCAAAAACTTGGAATTTTTCTGAATTTAAAAAGCAAAAATTTGAAAGAAGAAGAGAAAATGACTTGTTCCAGTCAAATAAACCATTTATCGACTATAATTATATTCATAATATTGAAAAACGATTAATTTCAACGTCAATGTGGTCATTTTTTTGTATGACCCATGATACACGAGCATTTCCTCGGAGTAGAGGAAGCAAATCGCTATGTGTTTCTGGCTTCTACTTTTCTAAGTTTGCGGAATTTAAGGAATGTTTGGGGTCTTGAGTGCGATAATCATTTGAACAGTTTTATGCCATAAAAATCATTAGTTACTTAATTCAATTAAATAACTAGTTCAAAATCGCCTACATGGGATACTTTGAACGTATACGATAAGAAATTTCTTCAAAATTGTAAATACTTCACTAATTAAACTAAATAATGAACCATTAAAAATAATGGCTCATTGGCAAATAGCTATAACTGTATATAAATAGAATGAGTGAATATAGGAAAAAAAATTTCTAATGTAAATATTTCAATGTTTACATACATACGAGTATATATAAAATACAAGTAATATAATAATAATAATAAAAAAAAATGAAAATGAGAAGAAAAAAAACACGGGGTCCCTTTTGCCTTGTATGTTGTCTGTCTATGCTAAAATAGGAGGAAAATTGTAGAGAAAAGTGAAAAGAATAGAAAAAGATTTACAAAAGAGCCAACGCCCTTTTTTTTTTTTTTTAATTTTTCTTCTTCTGGATGCGTTCAAATTGAAAAGCACGATTTTTTTTTTCTTGTCTTCTATTTTTTTTTTTGTACAATATTTTGTATTGTTTGACGTGTCATATCATTTATATTTCGATAAGATGGCGAAAAATTTTAATAAAATTATTAGCTCTGATCGGCGGCATATTTTCCACTTTTTCATCACATTTATAAATAATGAATATTTAATTCTATTAATGCCCCTCATGTTCGCGACTATTGTTTTAAGCTAAAATTGCTAAATAAATGTGGTAATCACACTTAAGAAAAATGTGATTTTCTGAACAGTTCCCTATGCGAATATACAAAGTAAGTAACTCTTCAATTAGCACTTTATAGGCTAAGCATTTCAATTCTTGTGTTCACATTTTTAATTTTTCACTATATTATACGATATTGCATATATTTAGGAGATTAAGAAGAACCATAACATATTTTAATATTTTCAAAATTGTTAAAAATTAAAATAAAGAAAAAAAAATCAAACTTACCCTAGCACCAATAAATCTAGCTTCAAGAAGCTCCTGTTTACGAGGATCTAATGCGGCTTGGAAGTTTTCCATTGTGGCCACAGCACCTATATAACATAATATTTAAATTAAATTTTTACTTTAGTGAATATTCTGCACCATTTTATATTACAAATTTTGAGTAATGAAGCACAGAGATTGAATGAAAATTTATGAGCTTCATTTTAATTTAATGAAAAAGGTGCAGAATATAGAATAGAATTCGTTTTAATTTTTACATTACCTCTAATATATCGGTATCGACTATCATTCATGCCTTTCTTCACAATCTAATTCCATGAATTCCTGTAAAAAAATAAAATACAAATTAAATATATTGGAATGATAACAAGATCAATGAATTTTTTATGAAAATAATTTTGAAATCTGCAAAAATACAGCCAGATCTAAATTTTTTTTTTAAAATTCATACAGTTTCTAAAATATGAAAATATCGGTCTCAAAATTTTTATTTTAAACATTTTATAAATCAAATGTTGATGAAGTTAATCTCAATGAGATCCAATAAAAAATAATCCAAATTAAACATTTTTACAATATTTTAATAGTAATAACTTAGATCGGGGGTAAATGATACAAGAAAATTTTATTTAAAAACTGTTGAGACCTGAGATTCCTCCTATTATAAAGCCGAATAAGAGAGAAGAAACAATATGAAAAATTCAGGAAAAGGCGTTTATTTTACCGTTAATGATTAAATTGAAAGGTTTATTCAAAATATTTTTTGAATTTGTTGTTCTAATTAAATTCTTTGCCATTGGAGAAGCTTAAAGACATCAAAAATAAGGAAGCGAAAAGAAAAGAGAGTTACTTTGGAATAATGTATACAGTTGATCAGGAAAACTAGGCTAGGACGTTTCATCGTCAAACAATTTTTCGGAATTGTCAAAGAGGTGAAGCAGTAAAGACGGTGCTGTACAGCTGCTTTCGTTATGCGGAAAAAGAGAAAATCTACCCCCCCTAATGTTAGGTGGTAAGAACTACTACTAATCTGATTAAATTGTAAAATTTAATTGAAATAAATTTAAATATACTTTTAACGATTTAATTAATTAATAACAAAAACCGAGTGCCCAAAAGGAAATCTATCTTTCATTATTAACAACGTAAGTTCTCCTCTTCAAGTAACATTGACGTTTTCAAATATTGGTGAAAATTATAGTTGTCTCAACAACAATAATTAATAAATTTATAAATCAAAAACATTACAAACGAATATTTTTTTCGATTTTATCAATTAATTTCAATAGAAATCTTATTCCCGCTTAAAATTACTTTAATTGAACATCAAATTAATCTCGACAAATCTAGCCTATGTAAGTGTAAAACTCTTAAACGCATTTTTAATTAGTCTGAGAAAGTATAACACAATTTAATTTATTTACTCATTATTTATCTCTAACTTAAAAAAAAAACAAACAATATTAGTATAAATTTAAAATACTTAATTCCAAAAAGGATTTTTTTTCGTTTCACTCAGAAAATCCTTACATTTTTTCGTTTTTTTTTTTTTTTGTAAGTTTTTCTCTCTTCATTATTTTTATTTTAATTTTTCTATTTAAAAAATTTAAAAAGATATAGCAATTATAGTAAGGGTATCCTCAACAGTACTTAAGTTATCTGTTCTACATATATAACATACTAAAATAGATAAGTCAGAAGGATAAAACTAAGGATATTCGACAAAGATAATGTGAAAAATGAGAAAAACGAAAAATATGGTTAGTAAAAAAAGTTTACGTTATTACGTAATTTTCTCGATTCTTTGATAAGAGTAAAAAATTAATTTTGCATACTTTTAGGTGTGTAACAGAGAAATTTAGGAAAAAAAGCAAAAAATGCTGATTAATTAAAATAGTTGTCATAAAATATCAATTAAATTTCAATGTTAATTTAAGGTTATCTAAAGTAGAAATTTTAATTAAAGAAAATCTGGTAATTACGGAATTCGTTTTCTTCTAAAATTTCAATAAAAATATTCTGACCAATTATTTTATTGATTACAAAACATTCTACTTAAAATTAAGAGAATTTAAGTGATTTTTAGAGTAATTTGGTAGATTAATGTAAAATAAGCGATCAGAATACAGTGTACGTGTCCATTAGTTTCTGTGAATACAAGCAACTAGTTGGCTCGGATGTTTTTTTTTTTTTTGTTGTTATAAATTTGAATTTTGTATTATTTTATTTACTGCCAATTAGTAATCAAAATTCTGTGTCAATTAGTTCCGAAATTTTATAGATTAAATGGAAGATTTGAACAGATTTTGTTAGAAGCCCATCATTTACACTTAAATAGCTTCTACTATCACTATTATAGAAAATTTTCTAAAAACATAAAAATATAGATTTCTATGAGGAATTTATATACTTTTAAAAAAGGTGTTGTTTTTGCATGATACTAAAAATTCAAGTTATTTGTAAATCATCACTAAAAATGTAAACTACTCATTGAGGAAAGTATCGCCACTGCTAATGGAAATTTCCACACACAATTCGATACATCGGTTGAACGATTGTTGGAAAACCTGGCCATATGAAAATTAAACCTCAACATGTGAATTTAATTTGCACGGAAATTAAAGCCAGACGACCATAAAAGTAAGGCATAGTTCTTTCATCTTTTTTATTGTAAAAGCTGTTTAGCTCTTTCGACCCAGCTGGTACACATGTCCAAACATCCCTAAAAATTAAAAATGGCATTGTATTTGGTTCTCCATTGTACAATTTCGCACTAAATTTTAAGGTGATTTTCATCACAGACAGTTTATTTTATATACTCGTATGTAAAGGTAATATACCCCCCTTATGAATCATGTGCTAATTACAGTATTCGAAAGCTGAATGTTTAAATGGTTACTTGATTTTCAACATGTTTATTAATGACTTGATTTTCAACTCAACATGTTTCTAATGAACTACGAGGTTATTAACATTTTGACATATTTACGAGGTCAAAAAAGAAGAAATATAATGAATTTGATTGAAAAATCTCAATTTTTTGGTTAAGAAATTTGGGGTTCTATCAGACTTGGAAAACAAAATATTCATTAATAATTTTAAGCAATTTTTAATTCTCTAAAATCAGTTAAAACCATTCTTTATTAATTATTGAGAATAACCTAAGAAGCTGCCATTTCAAGGGAGCATTCCAGAGCTTTAGAGAACATTAATGAATATTAAAATTATTAATAGTTTTAGCATTAGATTAAATGAATGAAAACCTTTTGGAATTAAAATTTTTTTAATCAAATTTTGAAAAGTTCTTCTCCAAATTTTCTTATCCTTTAGTGTTTAATCTAAGACCCAAGTATAGATACGCGATGAAAGATTTTCTTAAAATAGTAAATAGAATTTTTTATGCGTATTTAATTTATTAATTGCCATTTGTCAAAATGTCACAATAATTTGTCAAACAACAAACAAATCAACGGAGAACAAAGAAAAAGAAAAAACAAAATTCGGCTATCTTTTGCATTTTTTCTTGTTTTCTATGTTTTTTTTTTTGTGTTTTTCATTTTTTCGCTTATCCATTTAAAAAAGATCTGTAAAATTAACAAAATGGCTACCAACCAAAAATAAATTTTTCTTAAAATGGAGAATACTTATACATAATATGGAAAAAAAAGCAAAATAAAATAATAAAAAAAAAATATTCTAGATAATATAAATGATAAAAAAAAGTCGTCCTTTTAAAAAAAAAAATAAGAATAAAAAAAAAACATAAAGGATGAGAAAATCGATAAACAAAGTTGAAATAATTTTTTTTTTTTGTGTTCTTTACTTTGCTACAGTGATCTACTTTTCGGGTGGTTGAATTGGGATTGTTGAGCTATAAAGTTTGGGGTTGATTTTGTTTTGTCAGTGGGGTGATTAAGTGGGTTAACTGGCCGGGTATTTCTTCTCACCACTTCAATTTTTTTTTTAAGTCACCTTCATCTTTGTTTTCTTATTTCTTTCTTTTTTTTTTACAAAATACAAGTATCCTTATTATTTTTTTTCTATATGCACTTATATACTTTTGGTATGTGTGTAAGAAGTAACAAAAAAAAAAAATTAAATAAACTTATGTACAAATATACACTTGCAATACATTAATATATATAACATGTACAAAGTGAGTCTGAAAAGTTTTAAAATTTTTACGCTTTAAACGTAAATTTCATCTACCTATATCCACACAATATGATAAGCTCCGCCACTACCAATTATTTAATATGAACAAAATCTGTGAGTCAAATAAAATAGAAAAATGAATTACTTATAGAAAGTGGAATAGGGGGTCTTAAATTTAGCGTACCTCCTAAGGCGGGTGGGCATTAACTCTCAAGACAAAATTAGAAAATTCTTAAATTAAAAATCTTTCGTTGTTATTCCATGTATTCTTTTGTGACAAAAATTAAAAAATTGTTAGTGGCACTTAGACTAAATTGTCTGAATCAGAGTTAAGTAACATGATTTCGAGTGAATCAGATTTAATGATTTTAAAACCATTTTTGATATAATTTGAAAACTTTATCTGAAACAGAATTTTTAGATATATTTCTTAAGCTTAACCAGTTTGTAAATGTTAACTATATTTATTGTTAGTAAGTATGATATTCTAAAAAATAATTTGGTTAATTATTTTTAAGGTATATTCTTTTTAATTTAACCAATTTATTATTTTCCGATTTTACTGAATCACGATCATTTTCAAGAACAATTCATTTCGGAAACAATTCCTTTTGGAAACTATTTTCCCCATCTAAAATTCGTAACGTAAAAAATCATATTAAATTTCCCCATCCCTTCTTACAACATGAATTTTACCTTTTAAATCGCGTAAATTATATCATTGATATTATTTTCATTCTCAGATCTTTAATTTATGTGTAAACTTTCTATGAGTAATTAATTTTATTTCAAAAGAAGAGAAACACCACCCAATTGTCAATAAATAATATTCATCAAAGTCTCAACTCTCTTCAAATAATTTGCAATAATGCATTATTTGTTTCTCTTTAATATTTTCTCTTTGTGCTTCGTAAATTTATTAACCGTACTTTGTATATATTAGTATATACACTAACATGTATATAATTATATATATGTTAACATATTTATAAACTCAAATATAAAATAAATAAGATATATAAAAAAAAAAATCATTTTTTTTTCATAAAATCTACTGAAGCAAGGATGGGCGAGAAATTTATAAGTAGGTACGGTATGTAACTAAGTATACAGTTAAATATTTATTTCACTTCCTTACATTTTTCAAAAAAAAAAAATATCTTGTATATAATTTATACATATATATATTTATTATACAATATACATAAAGGTAAATAAGCGAAAAGAAAAAACACAAAAGAAAAACAAAAATTCTTAAAATTAAATTTATGTATGTAAGTAATTGTGTGCATATATATATATATAAGTACCCTTAATGTATGACATACAAAATGAAAATTACATAAGAATCTTATTAAAAACGAAACAAAACCAAAAATTATCCGTTTCAGTGTTGTAACTGCGAACACTTCAAAAATTTTCAATTACTTACTTACTTTTCTTACTTAAATAATTAAGTAAGAGAAGTACACACACATTTCAACTAGTACTTAATATAATAGTAGTGCCTACTACAGTTATTGAAAAAAAAATACTACTTACACTGTTAAATGTTAGGAAATAAATTAAATGGAATAGGTGAAAAATAATTTCATAATTTGTCCATAAATTAAGAAAAATCTTACACTTAAGTGTTCACGGCTAAACATAAAATTTAATTTCGATAGGAACTAATATCCTAAATTTTATGTATGTACCTTCCTTACAGGCAGGCAAAAATCAACGATAAAGAGAGTTTTACAAATACAATTACTAAAAATTTTCCACTTGAACCGAAAAATCTTGGATAATTTTAATCTTAGACACAACTTATCATACCTAACTCATCTTAAACACAAATCACTCGGTTTAAATAAATAAATAAAAAAAAATAAATAAATTACTTTAATGTATGATATATTTTACATAGAGGGAAAAGTAGAAGAATGGCAATCAAAAAAAAATGACAAACGCACATTAAAACAAAAGAGATATAAGACTACTAACACACCAAACACTAAAAATGTAAGAATATAACATACGTTCGTACGGGTATAAAAAAAGCACTTAGTAAAAACTAAAACAATTTTAAAAATTATTCAAAATTCTAAATCCCATGCTTACATCAGAATCAAATAGCAAACAATTAAAGTTAATACAACGCAAAAATCTAGTGACGAGAACGTTACTGCCATAATTAGTAACATGATAGCGAACAACTCAACTGATGTAAGATTTCTTATATTATTCCTAAGAAAAGTAAGCTTTAACAACGAAGGAGATTTGATGACCCCTATACAACCTGGTGCAGGACACTATGTCAGAAGAGAACCCTATTCGCTTGAAATTATTGCAAGTTAATCAGCAGCAACCTATAGCCTAAAAAGACAGTAATCCAATATTGATCAAATCATCCTAGATTAGATTAAATTTTTGAGGATTTCAGCAAAATCACATTAGATCAAACATTTTACCATATTAAAATTGAATTTTGAATGAAATTTTACTTGCCACGGTTTAAATTATTATTTATTTGTAACAGGTTGAGCTATGGAACTACGGGAAGCTTAAAAGTTTAAAAATATTTAAATAAATTACAAATTATTATTTAATAAAATTTTATTTACTTACTTTGTTGAGTTTTTTCCATTCTCCATTAATATTAACTGAAAAAATTGAATAATCTTCTTCTATTTTTATTCTTTTAAAATTTAAACAAAAAAAAATTTATTGAAAAATTTCGATAGAAGTTCCAAGTTTCTTAATTATTTAAGGTTTCTTATTTATATTAAAAACTTTAACCAGATTAAGAAATTTTTCAAATTTTTTAAAAAAATTTCACTTTTTTCAGATTTTAATGTTAAAGAAGTTTAAGTAAGTTTATTTTTTACTTATTAATTTTCTTATTGTTTCTTATTTATTTTTTAATAATTAATTTTATGCAATTACATTTTATATTAAATAAATCACATATTAATTATGTAAATTTGTTACAATAAAAAATATTTTTAATAAAAAATTAAATTAAACTAAAAAAAAAAATTATTTTTTTCACTTATTAAAATTTTGTTTTCTGACAATTGAGTCTAAGCACTTATTGTATAGAATTTTATTTTTTATTTAGTAATTTCTGTATTATTTATTTTTAGAAACAAAACAAAAGCAAACTTGAATTTTTAATTATTTTAGGTAAAGTTCAATTAAGAAGAAATTCGAATTAAGTACCTATAAGTATAAAGATTAAGGATTAATTAAGTAAGTCGATGAACACATGCGATGGTGCGGCGCAAGATACCTGTTAAGTGACAAATTTAAAATTTTATAGGAGAGCGTTTTGAAACTTTACAAATTTGTGAAAAGAAAATAAAATTTTGAGTTTTCAAAACATGTACTTGATTAATAGTGTTAAAATTGCTAATACTAACTGATGTACTTACAACTCAGTTTGTGTAACAATTCAGTTTGTGTAACACACATAATCATTTCTAACAAAGCCCTCAGTTTTACTAAACTATTTCAACCACACTAATTTTGCAAACTAACTTATGTACGACACAGAAATCTAAACCAGACAAAGGTCATTCGAAATTAGTGCTGGTATAAAACAAAAGCATTTTGAGCAATTTGTTACTTAGCATAAGTGTCTTTGCATTTCACCATCGACATTGTATGCAGGTATAATTATATTGTAAAATTTGATTTATCTTCATATTTCATGCGTTAAATTATAAAATACTTGTAAGTATAAGAATTAAAAGTAATTTTGAAGAATAGGTAATCTTAAAAAAAATATACTTAGTTAAAAATTTAATAAAATCAATTTAAAGCAAATAAACTGATGATTTGTTTTCTCTTTATACATCGGGAAATCATACAAAATTAATTTATTTAATTGTGGTGAAAAATTTTAATGAATTGATTATGGCACAAATAATAATAAAATCTAATAATAGTTTGACACTCTATTACTTTATGAGAAATACCTCCACTACACTTTGGTGCTCACATTATATTGAACACTTTTGCGTTCAATATACATACTGTGTTGGAATGAATAAATCAATGTTGAATATCTCAAAAACAAAAATAGCTTGCGTAAATGGTGGAAATAGAAACATTGCTGTTGAAATTACAAATATAAAAATTTAATCTGTTCAAAGTATAAAGTATTTAGGAGTTATTGTTGATAACAAATTAAAGTTTGATGAGCATGCAAGCAGCATACATGGAAAAATGTCTAAAAAAATGGGTTCTGGCTATTATTAAACAGTCTATTTCAGAAAAATCTGCTGTAATGCTGTATAATAGTTTAATTCTTCTACATATAGACTATCGTTCATCTTTACAATTTATTTGTAGCAAGGATAAAAATAACAAATTTCAAAAATTTCAAAACAGAACAATGAGTATCATTCTAAAAGCTAACAAAAAGACCAGCATTGCAAATATGCTTTAAAAATTGAAATGGGTGAAAATTGAAATGGTAAAGTTTCTGGATATTTGAATAGTTCCTGGATCTGAATACTTCCTGGATGAGGATACTTCCTGGATATTTGCAAAGAAATTTGAACTACATAGAGGGAGCCGATAACTTGAGAAACGTTAGTGATTTTAGACTACCGCTTTAAAAAAGAGCTAGCTCACAGAACACCTTAATATGCAAAGCAAATCGTTTATATAAACTCTCTACTAACATTGTTGAAAAATGCAAAGTGGATTAAAAAAATTACTCGATTAAGTGGCTGAAACCGCCAAGCAGGCGCTAATATTTTGTATTTAAAACTAAATGCTAAGAAACGGTATAATTTAAGCATAAGACTAGGGTTGAAATTAAAGATTGTTTAAACCGAGTGGCAGACTCAAGAAATTTAAAACTTAAGAATTAACTAAGAATTATTTAAATTAATTATTTATGTATGAGGTCCAACTAATTTAAAATTAGAAAAATTTTATTCAAGAAAAACTTAATTTTATACTAAACATAACATTGCAATAATTGAGATAGGGAAGTAAGTAAATATAGATTTTAGATTACCTAATCTCATATTTTATTTGATAAGATGAATGGAATTTAATTAAACACATTTAATTATTAATCCGACCTACATAATTATGTACATAAATAATTAAAAATTGCCGGTATATTAAATTTATTCATTATTTTTTTATATAAATATTTAATTTTATTATTGAAATTGTTTCGATCTTCTGCATCCTATTTATTTAAGCGCATCCCTATTTCTCAATAAAATCAACTAGGATGTTATACATATTTTAATTTATTTTAAAATGATTTATATACAAACGTAGTTACATACATATGTATATAATATGTAGATACTTAATGTATCTTTAGTCATAAGTCATAAGTATAGCCATTCGCAATTTACAAACTTAAGAAAATATTGAAGAAAATGTATGTAAATATGGCGGAAATTTTATTACCTTAATAAAAATATTTTGATTTTAAAATTTTATTTCAAGACAGCTAAGTACACAAATTTGTGTTCAGCTCTGGATATATTAAAATTAATTTGATTTCCACTGAATTTTGTCAAATTTTATTTAATATTTATCGAAATATCAAAACAATTAACATTCATTTGAAATAAACAATATTCTAAAATCAAAATTGAATAATTTAGCATGGATGCTTACTTATTATTATAAAATATAGTTGGTCTTTGAAAAAATTGCATAGTTTCTTGTTTCAAATTAAATAAGGATAATTAATGTCTAATTAATTTCAGTTTTAAATTTTCTAAATTTATTCGCACAAATAATACTCAAGTTTTTAATTTTAAATGTTTTCAACAGTTTCTGGAGCACAGAAATTTAACAATTTAATTTATTAATGAACAGTTTTACAATTTATTTATATTTCCTCTTCATTAATACACTTTAATAGCATAAACAAAATAAATTTTAATATTATAAAAAAAACAAATAATTTCTTCTAGTTTTGGAGGTTATGTTTGTTTATTTTATTATAAAAAAAAAAAAAATTCAACAGTACAGGTTTTTTAATGGAAAAAGCAAAAGAAAAAAATATGTGCATTGAAATTCTCAGCGTACACACTACACCACACACATATGTTCAATTCAATTAAATTCTCTCTTAAATTTTTTTCTTTTTTTTTACTATCGGCAAATTAAAATCTTTTTAAATTCATAAATTTTTAACACTTTTATTTTATTAATTTTTAGTTAAAAGTTTCTTTTTAAGCCTTTAAATAATATTTATTTTTATTTTATAATTGTTTTTAAACTTCAAAAAAAAAACCACAAATTTATCAATGGAAACTCTTCGTATTTTATATTTTTCTCACCAGAAATATATTTCTCTTCAACACACCAATTATTATAAAAAAAAAAAACATCTTTTTTTTCCCAATAAACATTAAAATGACATTAATGTAAAAATCCAACAGTGTTCTGAAAATTGGTGGAAAATACATGGATTTTTGTTTTTTATTCAAAAACTAAGTTTATGGAAATTCATTGTTATTGATATCGAAATAAATTTTGTTTTCGTATTTTCGAATTATTTGAATAATTGAAAAGAATTGAAGAAAATTATTAACAAAATTTGTATGAAACATCATATAATTAAGGGTATGTTATTACTATTACTCCCGCATATATGTTGTTTTAGTTTATAAAAGAAAAAAATATATAAAAATCCGGTTAAATTGAAGCAAAACTATAAGAATTGCTTGGAATAATACGAATGGTCGCTATAATTGAAGCACTCAGCTCATTATTGGCCTACTGGCCAAACGACATTTCGAATAAATTTTTAATTTTTAAGGAAATTTTGAAAATGGCAAAAACGAATTTATGTCAAAATAGAGTGAAAAGAGGAGTATGCTAAGTATTTTGAAAATATAGAAAAATTTTTTAGGCTTTTACAAGCTCTATTGAACATAATAAGTTATTTTTGTAAAAATGTTAAATAGGCCACTAATGTGCTGAGCGCCTCAATTATATCTCATATAATTAAAATAAAACACAAGTATGAAAAATATAAAAAAAAGTGTCGCAATGAAATTAATAGTTATTACCTGTTACTAATTTATTTGCATATCCACATTACTGCATTTTCTGTCGTTATACCGTAAAGAGTACTTAAGGTGGCTTTAAATATAAACCAAACAGCACAAAGAATATTAAGAAGAATAATTACTAACGACTTTTGCATTAATGGTTGCAAAAATCATATGTATGTCAAGCTTTGTTGAAATAAATGTCAACCATTAATGTAAAAGTAATTGTGTAAATATAGGTATTGACTGAATTCATTTTTTTTACATACATACATACATATGTATGTATATTATAATAATTGTCGATGTTGATAAAAAAAACCACAGAATAGAATCGATACTTAACGAGACAGTTCAATTTCATAATACCGATACATTGGTATGTTGACTTAAGTATGTAATTTTATTAATCGATTCATTGATTTTTTTCAAACAAATTCTTGTGCAAACAAATCATATCACTGTATTTTATAATTGCATTGCAACAAAAAATGTCATATTTTTCAATATGAACTCTCAAAATATAGTTTTAATTTTCAAACAAACTGGGTTTTTTCTACGCAATAAAAAAAACTGACAGTATCGTATCTGTTGCAACATATATGTAGCAAAAAAATCGAAATTACAATGCAGTCATTTTTAAATTTTTACTAGAGTATGAATACTGCAGCTAAACTGTAGCAAATCTTTTTTTATTGCATTTTGATTGTCCATTCTTTTTTCGCAGATTTTGCATTTTGGATTTATTGAACGTGTTTTATATTGAGACTTTATAGAAGTTAGAATTGAATTATGAAATAAAAACCCTCAAAATTTCTTTATATTTTTCAAATTAATATATTTATGACCGTTTTCGGGTCAAATTTTTTTTCTTTTATATTTCGTATTACTATACGAATTTTGTCTTATGTTTTAAAACAAAGCTAAAAAGTCAGACTTGCATTATTTCTTAATTATTTGAAGTTTAAAATAATTGTTTAAAATAATCCCAAAGTTGATGTACAAATACCATATCCCAAATTCCAATATAAAATTTAGGAAACTTTACGACCCAAGTTGCTGTTGCAAAATTCTTTCAATCCACATCATAGGTCTAAAATGAAAATATATAAAAATAATTAAAAAAAAAAAAACAAAAAGAATAAAAACTCAAATATTTTATAATAATTTTTTTAAATTTTAAATTTATTTTTTTTTTTTATTTATTTCTAAATTTTTATTTATCCATAATACATATTTTACTATATATTCCTACATAGATATATATATATATATATGTATGTATAATATTATTTATATATTTAATTATAGCTTTGCCTAAAATTAAATGTAAATTTTGTCCTTATATAAAAGAAGTCTTATTAATTTAAAAATATTTTTTTTTAAACAAAAAAGAAAAAAATAAAAAGAAAAATATAAGATGCATTTTATATAAAACAATTATTTTTCTCTTAATTTTTATTTTTGTTTTTTGTTTAATTTTTTGATATTTTTGTAAGTGATTATTTTTTTATTCCAAATCATTTTTCTTTTGTTTTTGTATTCTAAGGTAATTAAAAGTTAATGGAAATAATTTAGTTTTTTTCGTATTTCCCTTGAAAGCAAAAAAAAAAATTAATTTTTTTTTTTTTCAAAATTAAAAAAAAAATAATAATATTGAAAATTTTATGCTTTTATTTAATTAATTAACTTTTCTTTTTTATTTATATATAAGATATTTATATAATTATATAACGTATATGTGTATATAATATTTATAATAATTATTTATACTTAAAATGTACGGGCTAAATATAAACTTAAAATTATGAAATTACATTTAAATTGAAATTTGTTTTTTATTTTTTTATTATTATTTTTTTTTAATTACTTATTTATTTTCAATTTTTTTTTTTAATTTATTTTCTTTGCTAGTTTTATATTAATAAATTTTTATTGAATTACATAATATATTTTTTTTTTTTAATTTTCTGTTTTTTTTTTTTTATACATAATTTTTTTTTTTATAAATTGGAACACATGCATATTTTTTTTTCTTGTTTTAATTTTTTAATTCATGAAAATTATCAGTTTCTTTTTTTAATTTCTTTTAAATTTTTTTGAAATTTTTAAATTTAAATTTAATTTTGTTGAATATCATGTAATAATAAAATACATTTAAATTTACAACATATAAAATTTTAGAAAATCAAATTGTTGAATTTTTTGTTTTTTTTTTTTTGAAAAAGTGTCAAATCTGAAAATGAAATTTAAAAATTTTTCAATAATTCAGTTCTAACTTAGATTCTAAAATATAAAAATATGTTTATTAAATTCAGAATCTGCAAAATCTGTATAAATAGCATTCTTTAAAGAAAATGATAGTCCTGCTTAAAATTCTAAAAGAATTTTTGAAGTTTTTAGAAGTTTAATATTTTTAATTAGAACAGGAGTGCATATTAGAAAAATATTGGATACTGAAGAATTACTCGATTATGTAACAGACCTACAAAAGCATAGTATTATTAAGTTTCTGCAGATTTGTAAATATGTGGGGATTTTCGATTATTCAGTTCTAAAATATTTGTAGTTTGTAGTACGTTCGAAAATTCAGTACACTGAAAATATTGATCATTCGAATTACTGATTACAGCCAGTAATTTACGAATCATAAAGTGCGTTCGAAAATTCAATCTGTAATAAAGAAATTTTAGAAATGTAGCGCAAAATTCTAATTTAAATTTTGTCGCTGCCGCATTAAGCTTCTTTTTTTTTATTAAATTTAAAATTCAAAAAAAAAAAAATTTTAATTTCAAAATGGCAGATTCAGATATTAAAGGGTTAAGTAAGTTTTCCTTTAAGTCTTCATATCTTGTTAAAATTTCCTTATTTTGCAGTGATTTGGAAGGCGAAAAGTATTAACTATACAATTTAATAAATAATGTTATTTTTTCTTATTTTCCAACGACTTATTATTTAGAAGTTTCAGAATTTGTAGACTGCGTAAACCAAAAAAAAAAAAAATTTAGCTGAAGTTTTTGCATATTCTTTAACGACTGCGGCTTAGAAATTTTAGTTCTAATGTAAAGAACTTTTAGCGCAGCGTGCATAAACGAAAACCCCCTCCTTTATTTGATTCGAAAGATTTTTACAATTTAATTTACAATTTAATTTAGAATTTTAAGTGCATTGTCGAAATTATCGAAAATCCACGATCGTTCATACAACTTATATAAAAGTTTTAATTTATCGAACATGCATAAGAGAAATTATTTAACACATACTTGAAATTCATATAATTTAAAATTTAATTTTTAAATTAGTATTATGAGTTTTTTAAAAATTTTTTAGAAAAGTTCCGATTTTTCTATAAAAAAAATATTGATCTAATAAATTATAATTGTCGTTAATTAATTTTAAATAAATTAATATTGAAAAAATATAAATTTGAATAATTAATAATTTACAAATATTTCTAATATATTATAAAATTATCAAGAATTAGAATTGAATTGTAAAAAAGTACATAAGTTTAATTTAATTTTAAAATATTTTTATGAATGCCCAATTATAATTTTAATGCTGTGGTTTTTGTTTTATTAATTTCATTTTTTTCTTTTCAAATAATGCAAATTTTTGTTTTTAAGCATAATCAATATTTTAATATCGATATTTTAATTAGGATTTCAATTTTATACTATAACTTTCAATTTTATTTTGAAAAATATTTTTATATTACATAAATTTACTTATATTATACACTTAATTTTTTTTTTTTGCTGTATAAAAATTCATTTGAATTTTTTCGGTAAAAATCAAAAATTTGTTTTTTTTTTAATTTATCAATATTTAATAATACAATTATGCTTGCAAATTTTAAATTACATAAAATTATATTACAAATATATATATATATATATATAATTTTTAAATATTTTACAAAAACAATATTTATTAAAAATCTAACATTCATTTAGTATCCCAATTTTGTTTTTTTTTTCTTAGTACTTATACTAATCTTCAAGTATTATTTAACCACATACAAGAAAAAAAAAAAGAGCTATATTAAATTTTACAAATTTGCTGATTAACATTGAATACAAAATTACAAAAAAAAAAAATAAAAATAAAAACAGAAAAAAAAACAACAGGTGATTTTAAATTTTACAAAAAAAAAATTCAGTATTATTGTATATTAAGCGTTCTACACAGAAAGATTTGATTTTTCTTAAACGGGATTCACTTTAAAATAAAAAAAAAATTATACTAATTATTTAAATTTACATTTTTATCACACTTATTATGAGAGTTAAGATTTTGTTCAAAATGTTGCATACTGCTCAAGAACTATTAAAATAATGCGCACACAACTCGACAACTAGGGAAATATGTAATCTAAATTATATTGAAAACTTCATCCCATATTTTGTTAGGCGTGTCATTTGACATAACAGGGTTGTTATTCAAAAATATTCTAATGCAATTTTTTACTAAAAAATAAAAATATTTTTCAATAATTTCTCATCACTTCAAATGATTCAACTAACAGAATATTATTCACCTATATTCTTCATTATTTTTATTAAATTATTCAAAAATACAGTGGACCTACAGTAATAAGTTTCGAAATTTGAAATTCTATACTGAAAATTTCAATATTTTTCAATTGTACTCGTAATTTATCACCATAATTGATGTGATTTTAAGATTCCCTTAAGGGTTATAGAATTTGAAGAAAACAGATTTGATTTAGAAGAAAGCAGATTATCAAAATATGGTCTGTATTAATCTTTAAAATTTTAATAATAATAATAATGATAATAAAAATAATATTAATTAATAATAATTATTAGATTCAACAAATTCTTTTAATGTATGTACAATCATATAAAAAATTTTGACTTGTGAAAATTAGAAATTGACAAAACATTAAGGATTTTATAGTTATACAATTCTTTTAGTTAATTTAATAAAAATATAAAATTGCAGTCACACATATTGAAATTCAAGTTTATGTTGATATTTAGATAAGATTGTAGTAGTCTTTCTGCTTGAATAATTCCTACTTCTACTTCGTTTGCAATAAATACAATTTTGTGTTTGAGAATATTGTCAAAGTTCTAATATTACGTCTGTCAACGTGTAAATTTGTTGAGAGTTGCAAAACCACTTTAATTGTCAACTAAACTGCAAAAAAATAAAAAAAATCTGCTTGAAATGCCTGAACCATTTCCTTGTTGCACATCAAATAATAAACATAATTTTAAAATCCCCTGCATATTAACAGAAAAAAAAAGATTGAAAAAAAAAGATTGAAAAAAAAAATCAACAATACCTATTGCATGTGTTGTATTAAATATCGTTACATATTTCATATTTTTTTTTTACAATATTATTTAATATAATACAATAACTTTATTTTAAACATTCTTTTGAGTAATTATTATCAGCAGCAGCATTTGCAGCTGCTGATGCCAATAGCAATAGATTATCATTACATGAAGGCATCAATTCGGTTTTATCATAACTATTAATTATATTTAAATCATCTTTCTTATTGATTTCTTGTTGATAACATATATTATAACTATTATTATTAGCATTATTAATATTGTTATTATAATTACTATTAGAACAATTAGCATTATTTATTGTTGTTAAACTTTTAAATATTTTTATATTTTCATTTTTATTATCACTATAGACAGAAAATACTTTTCCACTGATTTTCTTATTGAAATCAGTGGCATTATGTCAGTTAATAAATTCACCATCATTATTACTAATATTATTTTTATTGGTATTATTACTATTATTATTATTATTATTAATTATGCTATTATTTTCAATTTTTTTATTATTAATAATATTAGTATGATTATTATTTATATTATTATCGACATTTATATTAATATTGCTATCATTATAATACTGATTATTTTGCTGTTGTATATTATGATGGTGATTATGACGATGACGAGAATAATGATGATTATTTTCAGAATAAAATAATCTATGATTATTATTATCTTGAATAGTATTTGTATCAGATAAATTTTCATTATTAAAAGTTTTCAAAGATTTTGCTGAAATTATAGAAGTATTTTCATTTTCATTTACTAAATGATTAGATTTAATATTGCTATTATTGTTATTATTATTATTACTATTATTACAATTATCTTGCTTACGTTCATGACAATTGTCACCATTATTTTTATTACTGGTATTATTTATGTCACCGTTTATGATCCTACAACAATTAGTTTCATTATTACTATTTCTATAATTTGAATTTATATTATTGCTACTGTCGTTATTAAAATTACCATTAATTATATTATTATTAGTATTATTAGTACTATTATTATTATTATTATTATTTTTATTATTACATGATACTGTACTATTGACAACATTTAAATTAATACCAGCATTTTTATAAGTACTATTGTTATTACTATAATCATTACCATTTTCAATAAAATCATTAGTTCCACAAGGAATATTGGAATTAATACGTTTTATTGAAATTCCATTAACAGCACACATACTATTTTTATTTGGAGAAATAGTCAAAACGTGTTTAGTAAGTGCTTGCGATGATGGATTCTTTTGATCATTATTATTCGAAATAATATATTTCGAATTTACAGATGTAATAACAGTAGAAGTAACAGGTTGTTGAAATTTATTTGGTGATTGAATTACCGAATTATTTCGATGTGTATTTGTATTTTTAATAACGCTTACCATACTATCAATATTTTTATTACCTTTTTTATTTTTAAAATAATTCGAAATTGTTTCAAATTCATTATTAAGCCCAACATAATTAGAAGTTGAACTAACATTAGAAGAACTAAGCAAAGAATTAGATGATGTAGGTGAAGATGTTGATTTAATAATTGATGAAGAAGTTGTTGTTGAATCAACAATAAAATTATTTACGCTATTATTATCACCTTCGGAATCTGAGGCGGATTGTTCAATGTTAGGAGAATTTATTGAAGATGAATTGATAGCTGTAGATGGTGATGAAGTTGATATTGAAGAATTTAAGTTAAGCATAGGAGGAATGTCAATTGTATGGGTCTCATTGCCTAAAATTAATCGTAAACGCTTTTTCTGTGGTGTTAATTGCAATGAAGGTATTTCACCATTCTTTTTCGGAGCTTGCAGTGGTGGTGGTGTTGGCGGACAGCTACTGTCTAAATTACTATTACTATTATAGTACGAAGAAATTGATGATGCCGATGTGGATGATGATTTCTTTTTGTTTCGTTTCCTACGATGATCTTTTGATTTATGTCTCTTTTTACGCTTTTGAATGTGATTTGTTTCTCTTGAGTCTTCTTTTGTTAGACAAGTGTAATCATCTTGCTGTGATGTTGAGGTTGCTGACAAATCACCATCTATATCGGTACCATTTTCAGATAAACCTTCCACGCGCAAAATTTCATATTCAATTTTTGGTGATGATTTTCTATAATAATAGTTATTAGAGAAGTTATTAAAATGATTTTTGGAACTTGAAGAATGATGCATCGTAGTAAGTGATTTTATACCAGATTCCTGAAATAGATGATTTCTTATGTGCTTTTCCCCATGATTAAAATTATTTGCGCCGGAATCAATATTATTATTATTCATATTAGGACTACGTTTCATACGCAAAGTTAATTTTAATCTTCTTTCAGGGGTCTTTAAAATGGGTTGTTGTTCTGTTTGATTTGACCCTTCAGTTGATTTTACATCAGATACTAATTTTGATCCTTCATTTTCTGTTTTATTACAAATATTACTTTGCCTTGGTGATAGATAGCCATTAATAACTATTGAACTTTTTGTATTATCACAACTGCTAATATTATTTTTGCTCTCAGTATTACAACTAATTTTATTTTTATCACTAGCGCTATTGTTATTACTACCACTATTGGAATTATTATTATTATTATTAGAATTTAATGAATTTGTTACAGAATTTACTACGAGAGAAGACGGTTTACTCATTTTTTCAATGTTTATTGTTGGCGTTTTATTTTCTCTAGAAGATGATGAACTATTCCCTGACTCGCTGTAACTTTTCGATAACTTTCTCTTGCAAGATTTAATTTTGCTAACATTAGAATTGGTGGTGTAATCATTTTTTATATTATGCGTACTAGAATTTCTTCTCTCACTTGAATCTAAATTATTATTTATAACGTTTGAATCTGCTGAATTATAATTTAGGTTATTAAAACAATGTTTTTTTGTGTCATTTTGCTGCAATATTTTGCTATTATTTGAAGGTGACATCTTAAAACAAATAGTATTTTTTGTTGGAGTAATTATGGATGTTGCATTTATTGTTTTTAAGCTATCATTTGGAAAATTAGTTTTCTTATCTGAAATATTTGTTTTTTTTATCAATATAGTTGTTTGTGTTTTATTAGCCTGTTGTTGCTGATCACTACTAAGAAAATTATTTCTTGTTTTATCACAAAAATTGAAATTTTCATTATTGAAAAGATTTAATGGATTTTTAGTTGCCTGTTTACTAATTATACAATTATTTATTTTAACTTTTGAATCATCAATGTTATATTTGTCATTAGAAATTGAATTATTTTTTCTTATGTTATTAATGATTGTTGTCGTTGTCATATTTGATATTTTCTTCGGTGATAATGAAATCGCAGAATTATTAGTTGCAATCGGGAAAGTCTTTGAAATAGGATTATTATTATTTAAATGAGATGCTGCGGTTGAGAAAGAATTCGAAATATTGGTTGTGGTAGATAAAACGGAAGTAACGACCGCAGTTGTGACAGTTGTGTCAGATGAATCTTTTGTCACAGGTGTATTTTCAAAAGAAGTTATTATATTTTTACGATAACCATTGCCCCCTCCTCCAAATGTGTTGCTTGCTATTGTTGACATATTTGTTATATTACAGGATTTTTCTATATTATTTGGATTTAATATTTTATTCGTAAAATTATTAACAAATATTTTACTAGCTGTGTTATTTATATTGCAGTTTAATGTATTTATAGAATTGTTACTATTATTACTACAATTATTGCCATCTGTGCAATTCGTATTACATGTATGTAAAGCATCAACAGTTTTTTCTTTTATATCTTTGCTGTTATTGCATACGGTTGTTATAGCAGATGACAGTGCAGAGGTTACGGGCATTGTTATATTTACGTTTGCCTCATGCACCTGAATTGGATTTCCGAATGTAACATTGCCTATTGCTGTTATTTTCGAAAGAGGTGATGATTTCAATGATGGAGGGGCTAGTTGGTGAAAATTTCCGCTACTTATATTATTGACATTGTGATGAGAATGATGATTGTGATGATTATGATTATTGACGCCGTGATGCGCATGATGAGCATGGTGACCTATGTTATGCGCGTTGGTATGAGTTGAAAAAGCTGATGCACCATGATGACCGTGGTGACTGTGATGATGAATCGTGTTTTGAAAATAAAAAGGATTTTTTGATGAATTTATTGTACTATTACTTTTAATTATGCTAATTGTTGTTGCTGTCGCTGGGGATGAAGATTTGGCCGCCGATGATATAAGAGATGTAGAAAATATTGGTTTTGGAGGTTCAAATATATTTTTATTTTCAAAATGCGATATAGCTTGCGTAGGTTGCTGTATTGTATGTCCCAATTTTGACGATAAATTTGAAAAATTTGTTTTTAGTCTCTTTTGTTTTTCATTTCGAAAATCTCCAAAAATCTCTTTTAATGATTTTTCATCATCAGGATCTTCATCTTCAGTAGCAACAACCGATACAGAACGTTTTAGAGCATTTTGACGGTTTTTTAAAACACGACGTTTTGATCTGTTTAAACTACTGTTCAGTCGACGACGCAACCTACGCTTTGTAGAAATAAGTTGTTTTTGAGGTGACTGAAAATTTTGCATTGATGCTGCTTTTAATGTGGAATTTTTTGTTAAATCTTCTCTAATATTTATCAATGATTTATCAGTTTCAATGGCAGAACTAATACTTATTCCAGATTTTATAAAATTATTTTTATCTAACTTTTGTTTTCTTTTTATATTATTACTGAACACACTAATTTTTGAATCTCTGCCAGGTATATTATTTCTAGTAGATCTTGATTTGCTAAAAAGAAACATAAAAGATATTCGAAATATATTTGAAAATATTTTATTTCTTAGGTTTATTTTGCAAATTACCTATCACCACTCCTCAAACAAATTTTGTTTTCCAGTTTGTTTTCAACACTTGCAACTGTTGAAGCTTTAATAATGTCCTTTTTTCCAACACTCAAATTCGGCGTCGATGTGGAAACGGAATCATTTTGCATTTCTTTTGATGTTGGAATAGAAGAAATTACAGCAGCATTATTCTTAATTTGATTTCTTGTTGTTCTTTTGTTTAGTGTTGAAGTAGTCACATTAAAATCGCAAGAAATATTTATTTCACTATCTTCTTTTGTTTGACTACGTTTTAATATTGTGATATTTGAATTGTTTTCGATGCTTTCATTAGATATTAAATTATTTGCGGAACATATTGAACTAACTCGAGCCGATTTTCTTAAGGATATTTCTTTTGTAGCCCCTCCTTGTGAATTTGTTGTTAATCCTTGTATCGCATTTAAATGCATATTTCTACTGCTTGCACAATTAGTTATTTTTGTACTGGTCACGTTATTACTACTGGCCATAATCAATTCAGCATCATATTTAGTAACTCCTTTCTGTCGCAATTCTTTCAATGTTAATGCCCTACCTACAGTTTTATCACTTACGACAGAATCGTCGACATTAATCTTCCTATTATTACCACAACCACTACTACTAATATTTGAATTACTATTTGTATTGGTATTAAAATTATTGCTACTGCTATCTACAATAGTTTCAGGGTTCGTTGAAGATGAATTCGCACGACTTTTTATTCGATTTATTCTATTATCAGTTTCTCTCAATTTATAGCCACCGGATTCATTAGTTTTTTGATGATACCTGGAATTCGTATCGGCCACATTTTGATCGTCATCAGCTATATTTTTCATAAATGCTCCAGTACCCCGTCGCTCACATGTTTCACACTCGCAATAGCAATTACCATCGCCGAAAAAATCTTCACCATAAAAACATGTTATCTCTTCACCTATTTCAATATCACGCAACACTTTGACGCAAGCTGTATCGCGGCCAGTTGGTACAAATTTACAATTTGCTCGACAGTCGTGATTTATATATGCAGCGGGACCAAGCCATAATTGTGCACAATTCTTTCGACAACTGTACATTACTGAAAAATCATTTTTTCCCGGATGTAATAATAATGATTCTTCAGCCTCAGTTAATTCAGCTATGCAACCAACCAAACACTCTATTTTATCATTTTTATACCAGCGTTTTGTGGAACTAATTTTTGCTCCTTTTTGGCCCTCTAAAGAGTAACGAAAACATGGCTCAATAACAAAACCAGATTCTTTATCGAAAACCCTTAAATAGCGAATTATCTATAAACAAAAAAAACAAAAAAATAATATTTTTACATATTATAAAAATTAGCAATTGATACACATGAAGACTCAATTACTTACATGATCATGAAGTCGTTTAATAGCCATTTTATTTTTATTATTAATTGATCTTGGCATCCATTCACCTTTGAATATTTTTTTAACAGCTTGATCATAATCTTGGGTTTTTATAAACTCACTAACTATAGATTTTAATGCTGTTTTATCGGCCTTTATAGGACGGTATCTTACATTCATTTTATGAGTTTGAAATCCCAGATGAGGATCTAACACTAAAGAAGTAGCTAAGTCATCATTTTCTGATAACTCCTTTGGTGTCATACCAGATGTAGATTGATGTACAATTCTATTAATGTTACTGCTACTTGATGTAACATTTTGGAAATTATTATTCGTTGATCCGACATTTATACTACAACTTGAGGACATCGAATTTAAATTTTGTGAATGATTACTTTGTTGTGATTGATGATGATTTGGATTTGATTTTAATGTTGCCTCTAAGGCTGTTATCGCAGCAGATGCAGCTGATCTTCTTTGTTGATGATTGCTTTCGCCACGGCGGGAGTGATGATTTGATTGTGATCCCACAACCATTATATACGAAATAATAATTTCTAATTGATGTTTTTCTTTTTTTTTGTTTTTTGTTTTTGATATGAAAATTTTTTTTTTTAATCTGCAAAAAAAAAAATCAAAAATTTAATAAACAAATAATAAAATTAAATTTAAAATTGATATATGATTTTGACAAAAATTATATATACATATTAATATGTATCAAACAATCTAATGTGTCAAACAAAAATAAATCGATACTAATTTTAGCTATTGAACATCACTGGATGTAGATATCAGTGTTTATAATTGAATGGCAACACTTCAAAATTTATTTCTGAAATTAAAACGTCACAAAATGACAAATGACAGTAAATTGACGTTTTCACAAAAAAAAAAAAGAAAAATAAAAGAAATGTCTTCTTTCCAGCAATTATTAAATTAATTTTTTTAATGAATACACAAATAAATATAAAAAAAAAAAACTTATTATTACATTAAAAAATTTTATATACACATATTAAATTTATAGAAAACCAATTCATAATATATATAAAATACATTCTAACACGATATAAATGAGCAAATGTATATTTTTCAATCAGCTGTTCGAATAAAAATTATAACCAATTTATAAAGTTTGACAAAAAAGCATACCTATAAAAAAAAAAAAATTGAGACAGAAGATATGTTCTTTAAATGAGTGCAATTTAGATAGAAACAGATATATGTTGTATTAATTTTTTTTTTTCTAAAGTACAAAAAGAAGAAAAAATTGAAAAAAAAGAAACCATATAAAAGTTTCATTATTTCCAATGGGCAATGGTTTACTTCAAAATTAAAAATTTTTATACCACAAAAATAAATTTACTTCAAATTGTCTCAAAAAATACAAGTTGGCCCCAAAATTTTTTGTATAAAAATTTTAGTTGAATTTTGATTACTATCAAAAATCTTAAAATTCTATATATACATTATATTATATACATATGTACATACATATTTCTATAGCACTGAAAGACATTTCTAGTACCTTTATGTTAAAATATTAAAAAATATGAAATAAAATTTTCTGATAATTGTTTTAAAATAATTTATATTTATGATTAGGTGAATAGGTATAATAAGCACATTGTGGTGTTGGTGTAAAATAATTAAAAAAATTAATTCTTATTTGGGGGAAACTAAAATTGTACACACATATGACATGATCAATAGAACATTATAGTAGCACATACTTAAAAGTATCTAAACTAACGAAGTAGCCACAAACTAGACTGACAAAATTTTTTCCAGACAATTTTAATTTTCTCGTTTCTTTTTAACACACACACAATAAATATTCCAAATTTTATTTTGTTTAAAAATTATAAAAAAAAAAAATTTTTTACAACTCTTTAAAAATCTTTAATAATTTTTTATTAAAATATTGAGTACTAACCTCACATTTGCTAATTATTGCTGGCAAAAACCAGAGAGGAGATAAAATAGAATTTCTTTCACACTCACTTGTTTTTTATTTTCCTTTAACTTGTCGCAAACAATTCAAGAAACCTTCCACAGTCGATTGCACATCCTTTGTACATTTAGAATGTTTTACAAAAAAATTAACAGAACACAAAAAAAAAAAAATTTTTTATATATCTACATACATTTATGTATATATGTACGTATTATTATATACGAATATAAGTATAAAAAATTATAATGGTTCTTATATTTATAAAACGTATTGAAATTTTTATCATTTATCAAAATCATGAATTAATAACTAATTTTATAAATTTTTCTACAAGATAATTTCAATTTAAAATTTAAAAAAAAAAAAAAACCGAATCAATTTACATTTATAACAACTTAATTTTCCGAGTCTTTACGGCGACTACAAGAAAATCGAATTTATGTCTAGCTTTTCATTTCATTGTATTTATTACACAAAAATATAAAAAAAAAAATTTTAATTATTTTCCATTTCTCTCTAACATATCTGATTTTATTGACAGAAAATGCATTTTGAAAGAGACATATATATTCTACTTTTTCTTTTCTTTTTATGTTTTATCAAACAATGCACATACAAAAAAAAAAAAAAAAAAATTCTATCTCATTTTATCAAGAACTTCTCGACGCTGGCTACATTTTTTTTTTATATAAACATGGCGCCGACATTTAAAAAAAAAAATATGTTTCTACCTTATTGTAATTATTAATTAAAACTTAATGTTATTTTCAATATTAGACTTATACTGTAATTATAATCGACACATTAATTAAATATATGTAAATTTTAAAAATATACTTTAAATTTAATTTTTTTTTTTAATTTAAATATTATTGTATTTTTATTTTATAATAAAAAGATTGAAAAACGAAATCTATATAACAACGAAATGGAATCGATTCGGACAATGAAGAAGTTTTTTTTTTATGTATTATACATGAGTTGAAAGAAGACCAATATATTATGTTTAAAAGATTTTCGCATATGATTTGATTTGATACAATAATATGTAGGGTTGGAGTTGCCATTTTTATATTTAAGAGCTTACATCTTCGTAATAAATAAAGAAGAGTTAGAAAGACTGATTATTTAAAATACATACAAAACATTTATACCTCGTTTATATGGCAGCTTGAGTACTTGACTTGAAATTAATCTTGAAACTCAAACTGCGTTCCTACTATGTAAGCTTTCAAGTTTTTTTTAAGATTAGTATTAACATTTTAAGTTTAGTAAGCAAAATGTTTCGTTTGACTTGAATAAAACCGGTTTTAAATTAGATAAAATTATATAAACGGCATATAAACATGTTTAAAAAATAAAATAAGGATTACGTAATATACCTTATATAACAGTAATTACAACATATTTTATGTGTTGTAAAACCAATTTATTTTGTTCGTGAGAAATTTAACAGTTTGTAATTTAACAATTTAACAAATATTGAATAGTTATGTATAGGTTTTTGTGTTATTTTAATAATTATGTTAATTATTAGCTTCTAATCACTGTACTTCAATAAATTTTGACATTCGTCGTTTGTTTAAACTTCAATCTAACTAATTTTTTTTTATTTTATTTATGTTGTGATATCCATCTAATTTAACTCAGCAATTTCGGAACCTAGACGTTTCGTCACAAAAGTTATATATACTTAACATTGGGATAAAGATTGTGAACTATAAGAAACTGTTTAGAGTGAAAGCTTTATTATTTCAGTTAGTTTGTTTTATAATTGAATATTAAAATGAAATTTACGATAAAGTTTGATGAATCTTTACATATCAAACAGACAACTGAACAGAGGTTCAGTTTTTATATCAATATTTAACAATGTGCCGCGAAAATTATTCACAAAAAAAAATTAACTGTGAGCCTAAGTTTATTCAGATAATTTGAGTTTGATATGTAAAGAATCATCAGATTTTTACCTAGATAAAATTCTAGGTAGTGTTTGCATATACGAAAAAATCTAAGATTACATCTGAGTTTGATATGTCTGAAAAACCGTATATGTAAACAGTGTTTAATTTCAAACTTGTTTGACGGTAATCAAAAAAAAATTACTCGATTCTCATTTCTCATTAAAACTGTAAAATTTTTTTAAATAAAATAAAATTTTCGAAAGTAAAATGGCAACAATTTATTTTTTTGTGAGTTTTGATTATTATAATTATTTTAGCAAATTGATAAATTGCGAGGTTCTGTAAAGTCTGAGCCCCATAAAATAATTTCAAATATGAACAGTCGTCAGAATTTGTCATCGAAAATTTTATCTTAAGTTATGGCGCATATGTAAACAGCACCTTAGATTTGTCGTGCATATAAACAATACCTAAAATTCAAGGAAAAGTTTGTACATATTAATGAACTAAATACGAATAAAAAATGTCATTTCTATGTAGAAATGACTTTTTGTTATGTAAAATTCTTTTATTTTTTATCAATCTATTTCTTTTTTGGAATGAATAAGCGGAAACAAACGTTATATTGAAATGTAAAAAGTTTAGTAACACAGTGCCCTCTAGCACATGTTTTTTTTTTCAAATAAACCGCTTAATTTACATCTTGTCATTTTTTATTCTTTTTGACAGCAAAACAAATGATATATGTTGTCATTTTAAGTTGAAAATATTTGGCAACACTGGTCCGTAAATTAGAGAAAGAAATTGCTTATTGCTTTCAGTTTTATTATTTTTTTTTCATCCGGGATCAAAGTAAGTTTTTGCTAGAAAGAAATTAAAAAACAAAAACGCCAAGTAAAATTATTTGTGGCTTTTAAAAATTTAAAATTTATATAAATAAAATTCTCTTCTCGTAAGGTAATTAATAAAAATTTAAAAAATTTAGTAATATTTGAGGACGCCATTGGAGAAATATTTTTTCCAAAAAAAAAGTTTGCATGTGTTTATTATTTAACTGTGTAACATACATAAAATTCGACATTAAATTAATTATTTATTACGTTATTGCAAATTTTCAAAAATGTCGATTTTTTCTCGATAGTCGCGTTAAGGAAAAAATCCAGAACGAAATATAAGCAAAATACGGAGACACCTATGTATGTACATTTCTAATCTACAGATATATGCATATGGGTAATAGTAAGTTCCTAATAAATATAATCATCGGAAACTTCTAAGCTAATACATACCTAGTTATTAATTGATTATAAATTAAGTTCTATGGAAATTTTGTTTTTAGATTATTTACAAAAAGTTTTGTATCTTCTAAATTCGTTACATTTACACTGCACATACATATTTAAGTAGGTATACCTATCTATGCCCGCCTACATAAATTTTCGTTGTAAAAACTCATAGCCAATTCCACTTAAGTCTAAGTTTAAAATAATTTACGTAACAAAATCCTACTCTAATACTTTGGGGTTTATGTTTTATTCAAAAAAAAGATTCAATGCAACATTGCAATAAGTATGTATTGTTGCATTGAATCTTTTTTATGAAGCGTTTCAATGTCAAAAAATATAGCTAAGCTTTATAAAAAAAAATTTTATTAAAAAAATTATAAAAATTTTTTACTTTTTTTTTTTTAGTTTAAAAATTAAATACTAAAATCAAAATGCCGAATATTAAATTGCAATCAAATGATGGTGAAATTTTTGATACTGATGTTCAAATAGCGAAATGTTCTGGTACAATTAAAACAATGCTTGAAGATTGTGGTATGGATGAAGGTGAAGATGCTGTAGTTCCACTACCAAATGTTAATTCCGCAATTTTACGAAAAGTATTACATTGGGCAAATTATCATAAGGACGATCCACAACCCACTGAAGATGATGAAAACAAAGAAAAACGTACCGATGATATTTCATCATGGGATGCTGATTTTCTCAAAGTGGATCAAGGAACATTATTCGAATTAATTTTGGCAGCTAATTACCTTGACATTAAAGGTTTACTAGATGTTACATGCAAAACAGTTGCAAATATGATTAAAGGTAAAACTCCAGAGGAAATAAGAAAAACCTTTAATATTAAAAATGATTTTACGGCAGCTGAAGAAGAGCAGGTCCGTAAAGAAAATGAATGGTGTGAGGAAAAATAAATGAATATAAGAGTAAAAATTTACATACATAAATACATTATATATTTAAATCTATAAATTAATATGAAAAAAAAAATTTTTAGTTTTGTTACTTAAATTGATATTTTTACTCGTTTGAAATCCACCTTCTATCTGAATAAAATTTTTAATATTTTAACAAAATTTCCGTTTTAAATTAAACTTACAGCAGTTTATGAAGTGTTTTTTTTTTGTTTACGAATTTAATTTGTAATATGTAAAACATCATTTTTCAAGGCAACTACTTAATTGCCTCAATAAACAAAAATGGTGTTCTTTTAAATGAATGAATTAAAAAAAGTGAATTCAGTTCTAGGTATAAAAATTTAATGAATTTGAAATGTAAAATTTAATGCATACTTGAAGCATAAATATATGAATTAAAATAATGTTTAGTTTTCGAGCTTTTAAGTAATGCTTGGGAATTATATTTAAATAAAGAGATCAAAAAGAAATACTCCCTTTATTTTATAATTTTTAAAGTAATAAATAAATTAGGTCATTATCTATATTTAACAAAAAATTTAATTTTATGTTTATATAAAAATTTTTTTTAGCGATAGCTAAAGGACTTGGCTCAATTAATACCTTGCTTATTTCATTTTCTTTTAAAGCGTTGACAGCAGAAATGGATTACAAACAAGATATGAATACAAACGAAATTAACAAAGCTTTCAAAGCGATTAAAGTCGCGAAATGAGCATTTTTCCTTCAAATCGACGTCGCTTTGTTAACTTTGATTTTATTGCTATGTAATTATTTATAATATTTAAGGCTTGATTGTCTATCTCGTTATTTTACCCGGAAAATGGGAAGAAAGTGAGTAAATATCATATATGTATATGTATACAAAATCTATTCACTTTGTTTTTGAAAGTGAGGCGTTCAATTGATAATTTGAGAAAAATTGTAAAAATTCAATTGAAAAAATGAGTAGTAATATTATTGGAAATGGGAAATACCATTAGAAAATACTGAGAATTTTGATTTAAAAGGGAATAAAAAGGCGAGATACAGGATCAATCTGTTAATTTAATTATGTAATTGTAATAAGTTTGCGTTGGCATGTCAATCAAAGATGGGCAATCATGATTTGCAATTTGATTTGCTGAAAATTGACTATGAAAACTTCGTCAATCAACCATAAAACTTTTGATTGATGAAAAAGTATAAATTGATTCTACTTTTGTCAATCATTTTTTGGAAGAAATAATATAAAAAATCGTTTCAATGTTTTTATTTTGCGACTTGTTATTTGATAATGGAGTGGCTGTTTTTTAATCAGCATTTGACAAGACTGACAATAATTGATTGCAATGTCACCTTGAATTACAATCATTCTCAATTATGATTGTCAATCTTTATTTGAAATGTAAACCGAGCTTTATTCTTTTTTAGAAAAAAATCACAAAAAAATGGGTATTGGGTTTTGACATTTCATTGGAGCTACAATAACAATTCAATCTATTCTATACATTTCTTATAACATATAAGATAGAGCGAAAAAAATATATATTTATGAGAATAATAACGTAAACGTTTAATAGGTCTCTTATTTTCATGTTATTTTAGTTCGTTGGTTGTCACTATTTGAATTTTGTTTTTTAGAATTTATGAATTTCATAATTTATAACAATTTCATTATAAACAAAACAATACTCCTGTGAATGTTTTGAATTTCTTTCAATTGTTTTGCTGTAAATTTTTGTTTTCAATTTTGGATTATAAAATAAAATAGAAAGTAAAACAAGCATAAAATGAGTTCACAAATAATCGAGGAATATTATGATCGGCCTCCACAATTTGATTTTACAAGATCGAAAAAACGAAAACCATTTAGGTATTTATTTGATACTGTGTATCCATGCAATACTATTTTAATGCCAACTTATGACTCAATTTCAAATGTCGTAAAATATTCAGAAAGTTTAATTGCTAAGGAGTTTGAAAAACCAAAAGAGCTTGAATGTGAAAACCTTTTAGAAGAAGCAATTGAATTAAAAAATAAAAAACGTTATAATTTGGAAGTTCTATACTCTTATCGATATGTTCCAGCTTCAAAACAAAGACCGAAATTTAAAAGAAACAGTCCTGTAATATTACTAAAGTGCAAGGATTTTTCAAAAGTAAAAGATAAATCATTTTCCGATGTTTTGATTCATGGCATTTCGAGTAGTGATAAAAGTAAGAATAAAGTAAATTATGATAAGAAATTCGAAATGAACCAAAACAAATGTTCATTAAAAAAAGTGGATGCTATACATATTCAACTTTCTTTGAAAGAACATATTCAATTGCAAAGTTCACATAACGCTTGGAAGCCCAATTCATTACGTTTTTCTGAAGCTGAAGATTATAAGGGAAAATTGCATGATAATATAGACAAAGTAATAGATTCTGACCTGAATGATAGTTTATTTTTAAAGAAAATTCGTGGTATATTAAACAAATTAACTGAAAATAATCTGGAATATCTTGTTGAGCAAATTTTAAAACTTGAAAAAATTTATACGCCAAACAAAATCGAATGTATATTATCGCAAATATTTGATAAAGCAATTGATGAATCGAAATTTTGTGGTATTTATGCTAAACTATGTCATGATTTAAAAGCAATAGATTCTAAGAATTATGATGTTAGAGGGAAAAAATCTAATAAGAAAGTATTTCATAAATATTTATTAGAAAAAATTGATAAAGAATTTCAATTAACGTTAGAGAATGAATTTCAACAAACATCGAAAGCAATCCAATCACAAAAAATAAATAATTCAATTGAGCAAAATTTGAATAATTTGGAAGAGGATGAATTGAAAATTCGTCGGAAATCATGTGGAATTATTAATTTTATTGGAGAATTATATAAAATATCAATAATTGATATAAAAATTATACAAAATTACATACAACAATTAATGGAACCATTTTCCGAAATAAAATTTGAATGTTTATGTAAATTACTACTGGTTATTGGTCATAAATATAATCAAAGAATTAATGATATTAAAATTGATAATAAGAAAAACTTATCAATTGAAGTTATTATTAGTAATATCAATCAAATCATTGAAAATAATAAATCTAATATTCAAATAAGTAATCGAGTTAAATTCATATTTCAAGATGTCATTGATTTGCACAAAAAGAAATGGAAAGCTAAAAATGCAATTGATGATATTGGTAGTAATAGCGATTTAATATTTAAAGACAATATAAATTATAAGAATGATATCATTGAAATTGACCGTAAGTATACGAATTTCTTAAAATATTTTTATAACAATTGAAAAATAAATATTTTAATATTATTGTACATTTTAATTATAAATTAATTTTTAAATTTTGTTTGTATAATTTAAGATAAAATTGAACTTGATTCTCTTCAATGCCAACATCAGTATAAAAAACAAAATATAACCCATTCGAAGGAGAAAAAGAAGAGTAATAATCAAAAGAATTATAATAATTTGGACCCTAATAATTTATTAAAAAATATGAAATTTGATTTTAATTCTAAACATTTAACATTAGGTTCCCGATCACAATTTACATCATTTTACAACAAATCTAAAAAACAAGATCAACCTGTTGAATGCAATAAGAATGTTATGCTAAACCAATCAATTCCAAAAGAATTTAAAGAAATCACTATAAATATTAAATTTATTTCAGAATTAATAGATTTAGTTAAAGATGGTTCCATAAATGATTTATGCCATATTTGGGATAGTATTCCATGTAGTCAACATTTACAAATATTAAACTATATAATTACTGAATTTATACATTATTCAAATACAACAAAATTACATAGGGAAATATTATCAAATATTATTTCATTACAATATAAACGAAATAAAATAAGCTATAATATTCTTTGTCAATCATTTAATGAATTATTTAATATTGCATCCGATATATTAATAGATGTACCAAAAATGTGGGAATATGTTTTTGAATTAATTGGACCCTTATTATTTAAAAATATATTTAATTTATATGATATGGTTGATATTGAATTGTATGATGAATATAAAAATCAATATTTGAATTTATTGTATAATTGTATTAAATATTTCATAAATGAAAAAGGTACAAATTTTATTAAATATTATTGGTATATGAATAAAAATAATATTGAAAGGAAATTAAATTCTAAAACATTAATTGAATTTATAGAAAAATATAATTTAAATTTTCTTAATGATTTTAATCATTATACATTTAATTCGAATGCAATGTTAAATAATCAAAATAATGGTGTGAAATCAGATATAGAACTTTTATTTAAATATTTAATTGAATTAAATGATATTATGAGTAAAAGTAGCAATTTAAAATTTAAAACAATAAATACAAAGAATGTTATATTAAATATAAGTAATGAATGCCAAAAATTAACGAAATTAATTTGTGATTTTACATTAAAATATGATGAACCAAAGAATAAATTCTTTTTAGATGGAACAATTTTTCATAATAAATTAATTAAGAATTTATTGAAAAAATGTTTATGTAATTTTGAATTGCAATGCTTATTTGAAATTGAATTATTTTTTGAAAATTTGAAAACTTTCGATAATAATATTAACGAAATATTAAATCAAATCTATGACAATAAAATTATTAATTATGAAATATTTAAAAATTGGAAAGAATTACGATTGAATAATGAAAATTTTGAAGGTTTAATTAATTTTCCTATAATATCAGAAATACAAATTTATTCCTCTATAAGAAAATTAAATTAAATTATTAATTGCTAATTAATATTTTTGGATTTTGGATTTTCAATAAAAATAACAAATTCTTAAATGAAAGCATGTTTGCATACATACCTTATTAATTTTAAAAAAGTTATAAAATTTTTTCCTTTATTCAATATTATCTTAAATTCTTTTAGAATATTTGAATATGATGTTTGTATTCAACTACCATTAGATTTTATATAAATATGTAAATTATAAAATAAAAATTAACTTGTTAATAAAATTTATATGAATTGCGTTTGGTGAATGTGAAAATTTTGTAATTCTTAACTATCATTACTGCGTACATGTATGTATATAATATGTATATATAACTAGATTCTGAAAATAGCATTATATATATATATATAATATGTATATATACCTAGATTCTGAGCTGTTTGATTTCTAGTCTCCTGGTTCAGTCACAATTGCGCGAAAGTGTAAGTATGCACTAATAAACTGATCCCTTTGCAAATTAATGTTTAAGGACCACTTTTCAATAAACTCAATGTTCATGGTTCGACGCAATGAATTTTTCAAAATACGTACATATGTATAACATGTTTAGGATTGCAATGGGATGGACATGTAAATAAAGGATTCTACTTCGTCAAAAATATATTAGGAAACATATATCTAATAGAGATATACGTTCCTAATATATTTTTGTATAAAATTTCAGCTTTTTATCTTAAAGGGTTTAAAGAACTTTTGTAAACAGACGCACATGGGCCAAAAAGAAAAAGAAACTGATAAGTAAAATGTTATAATAAGTTTTTACAGTATTGTTAGAAATGTGCCAAAAAATTATGTTCTTGTAAAACAAGACCAAGTATCAAAAAAAACAATAGACCACTTAGAATTTAATGAAATTTTAAAATTAATTGATTTATTGTTTTTGAAAAATAAAGTTAGTTTTTATGAAATTAGTATTTATTTATCAATTACATGTATGTAATTGTAATAAACCTACCATTTATTGACTTAATAAAATTAAAATATTTATTTTACTTATTAAATAAATTTTTTTATTCTTTTCACGTTATACAGGAATATATAAGAAAATTCATATATGTATGTCTGTATAAAAATTAGGATGTTATTTTTACCTGTTTTCTTTAAAATACATAATTGAAATTTGGGGGTGTTAACACTTGTATTTTTTTTTATTTTCTTGTTTTCTTTTGATCACAAAAATATTAAAATATCTAATGACCATATTTTTGGAATTCCCATTCTCTATTGTCCAAAGGACATACTTGACGTGTTTTTAACCAACGTGATATACAATGAAAATGGAAAGCATGATTGCATACTCCCCATGCTACTGTACATTCTTCACTAGTTGCTGAAGCTTGATTCGCTTGGCATTCAATACATAAGTCCATAATATGATTCCGACAAATAGCACAATTATCGACAACAATATCTAAAAAATATTTAAAAATTAAGTAGTGCTGTTTTTTTTTTCATTTTTATAAATTTAATTAATAAGTTAATTAAAAGTGATTCATTATTTACTAAACGAAAATTTAACAATTGCTACTTTTTCATTTTAAAATTTATCATTGACAATTATTGTATATAATTTAACAATTAGAAAATACGATTTCATGGACTAATTTAGCATAATATTTTTTCGAAGTCCTTGTAGACTTGAACTACGTTTGACTTTTAATTTGTTGCTTATTAGTTAAATTGATTACAGTCCCGTACAATATGCAAATAAGTCAATATTTATAAGTTTGCTGATACCTACAGTTAACAATCATTTTGTGCGTTTTACGCTTTTACTTACCCCAAGCCCATAATGCAACGGCATTCCACTGAAATATAACAAATATTTTGGTTAATCAAAAAAGTATAAATTTGAAATTATTTACAATACCTTCTTTACTTCAAATCTTTTCTTTTCACCTTTACTACTAGAAGATGGAACTTCAAATTCTTCTTCATCTACTTCCATACTCATCTTGGAAATTAAGTTTAATGCTACTTAAATATATTTATAAAAAGAAATCAAAATGTTTGTTGTAAATTAAAAAAATTTATTTTTAATTTTATTTGTTTCTTCAATTTCTTTTTTACAAGTTCATCAATACAACAAAAGTCCGTGATTTTTCAGTTCCTTTCATTGAATTGAACGCCATTGAGGTTATAATTGAATTTGTCAATTTGACTTTTTCATGACATTAATATAAAAATTGAGTGTTGCCGAGTAAAAGCAAATTACTGTTTTAAGCTTACGTGAGCGTTACGAATTTCGTTTTACTATCTATCTCCAATGTTACAAATAATTTCGAGTATATCTTGCTATTATTGCATCTAGATATAAAATATCAAAATTTTTTTCTAAATTTTACTAATTTAAATATTGCATTTGTTAAATATTACATACGAACAAGAAATAAAATATTAATTTAGAAATTCGGGTAAGATTTTGACATTAAACCCAAATTGACATTCGGTTTTCGAAAGAAACTTGGACCGTTTTCCATATATTATTTAATGCTAATACTAATTTAATATTGCTAGGCAACGCGTCAACCGCACTCTATTCGAATATCCAATTTATAGCGCAAGATGCTTTAAAATCAAAAATTAATTTAATTGTTTTTGATGAACCTACTTTACGTATTTTTGTGGCAATAAATTTAATTCGGTAATACAAATCGATAATTTTATCAACGCATAATGCGTTGATTTCCTTTTTGTGTTTGAGATATTAAAGGTTTTTGCATTAAGTATAGCTATCAGAAAAATTTACACAAACTATAATATTTTTATTTTAAATCATTTTTAAATATGTTGGTTAATTTATAAGAATAAAAACGTTTGTTTCGTTGTTGTACATGAACTTTTTACTCAATAATAAATTCTAAACTATTGAATAAAATAATTTAAGTAATAACGCCAAATTAATGACATGAACTAATTCTCAATCGTAGAATTAAATTCATGTCATGTCGACTATCGATTGGAGTAAGTCTCCGTTTTTTCAAGGAACGCGAATTATTTCGTTTTAAGATTTAAACACAATTACAGTCGAATTTCTTAATATTGATAAACAATATTTGAAATAATTTAATAGTTTAAAAAACAAATTAAAATTTCTTGTTTTTATTTACATAATTGCTATATGCTTCTATAAATATTTAAAATTAATTTATGTACACAATTGAATTACACATACATATATAAACTTTATGAATATATTACAGTTATATATATATAAATAAATTAATTTATTAATTAAAAATTTTTCATTTTTTATAAATATATAATACTATACGAGTACAATCAATTTTTAGCAATACGTTTTTGACATCCATATGTACTTGAGCATAATTGTATTTATGTGTGGAAATGTTATAAGAAGAACTTCACGTTATAAGAACTACTAATTGAAAAAACAAATTTGAACTGATTTTTGAAATTTAATTTAAACTGATATGTAAAAAAATGGGATTACAATTAAAATTATACAATGTATACAAAATTATACAAAAAATGGGAAAACAATTAAAATTATACAGAATACACGGAAAATCAATTTCTAATGCTTTAAAGCAAAATGCGAGAAACAAGTTCTGGGAAGCTTCTTTTTCAGTAAAACTAATCGGGGAGATTAAAACAAACTAAATGAATTTGACGTTTTCGTTTAAACTTTTTTTGAATTAATTGCTGTGTAAAAACACTGAAATTTTTTGTCCGAAAAATATGTGAAGTGTAAACACTACTTTATGAATTTGCCTTTTAAGTTCTGTGAAAATTAAGTCGTTAAAATATTTTTTTCAGTTGTAAAATAATTAATATTACAATTAGTGAAGTAATTACAAGAAAAAATAAATAGTTTTCCTGAAATGCGTAATTGTGATTTTGTTTTTTATAAAGTAAGTACCCATGCTTGTACAATATGAAAATCAATAAGTTATTGGAACAATTTTTTAAATTCAAAATTATTTGACTTCCGAATGGCCGAAACGAATTGCAGTAATACAAGTAAGGTAATTTACAAAATATAATTTAAAAATACATATGTACATATAAACTATACGTTTATAATTTTTGCACATTGTCTGTTTTTTTTTATTTCGCTTTATATACTGTTTTCCATATTTCAAATAAGCATATTGTTGAATGAAATCTATAAAAAATGGCTAATGGCATTGAAACATGAGTTATTATTGTCCATGCCCATATTCCAAAAAATTTTAAATGACTTTGACGAAATGCCGCTCTACCCTTTATTAATGTATTAATAAACCACATTGAAACATTTGCTATTAATAAAAATGTTATTGTTTGTCTTCCAGGCTTAGATCTTTGTTGTTGTGCACCTTTACATCGTCTCCAAGAAGCATTTAATATAAATATTGTTTGTAAAGCTGTTTGTATTAAACCTAAAATTTCGGACCATAATCCTTCTAAAACATATGGAATACCATCAGATATTGAAAAATATGATCCCATTATACTAAACATTCCATAAACGAATACACCAGTTTGTGCTACAACTAATAGCGTATTATCTAAGTTCATCTGATTTGTATCATGAATTTTATTAACAAATTTTAAATCTCTCATAAGATACATTGCAGTTAAAACAGCAGCACTTGTCACACTAAAAAATTATATTTTATTAGTAATTAGTAATTATGTATGTATATTAAAATTTATATTTATATTGTCATACATAATTTTAATTAAATTACCTGTAAATGATCATTTCACAAATAGTTACTTCGAACATTGCAAAATCTTTATAGCCTACTCTGTCGTGTAATACAAAATACATTATCATACTGATAATTGTCATTACCGTTATTAGAATACCAAAAAATAAACCTTGGTGAGCTTTTGAACAATCAACCGAAAATTGATTAGCTTTCCTTTGATTTTTACCTGTTGACATTTTTATTGAATCACGTCTTGTCTTTTCGATATCAGGAATTGATTTAATTTTCTTCCACATTTCATATAATATTACAGCACAAATTAATGAATATTCTATAGTACATGGAAATAAAAATGGTGCTGAATCTTGAACCAATGATCCCATTATATTATTTGTACGATGACAATTAACTACAGGACCATTATATATATTTCCAGCATTATTTTGAGATGATATTTGTGAAATTTCCGATACTGATGATGATGATGCAGGTAAAAATAATGATGGAGGGATTGTATCATTTGTTATATTATTATAATTAAATATTTTTGATATATTACTAATAGAATTTTCAATATTATTATTTAAATTTTCTATACTTGAATCAATAATATTTGCAATATTATTTGATTCAATATCAATAGATTTCGGATGATTATTATCATTTGGATTATGATTATCATGCTCCTGTGTATAATGTAATATCTCATGTCGCGTTTCTTCAACTAATACGTATAACCATTCGCATAAATTTGTTGCAACCATATGCATTAAACCAAATCTTGCAATTACTTTATGTTTATCCATATCAAGTTCTGTTGTATTCAAAAATATAAATTGCATTTGTATTATTGATAATATCATTCTAGCACTTGGTGTTAATGCAACAAATACATCATGACAACCAGAATGTCCCTCAAAATATTGACCAAATTCTAAACCAGAATATACCATTGTACCAATACCAAATGCTATTGCACCAACTCTTAAATAAAAACTACCAAAATGTGCAACTTTACGTCGAATTTGAATATTATTTGCTTTTTCATCTGTGTATAAATGTAAAATATTAATGAAGATTTGAATTAAAATCGAATTTCGAATTAAAATTCATTCGAAAATTATTTAGAAATATATATTACTTTTATTATTAACATTCTTATTAATTAATTTAACAATTCAGCATTGTGAATAATTTTCTTTAAAGAATTCAGCCGATTTTTTTTTGGTCAAATTTACCGGATGATTATTGGTAAATCCAACTAGATTTTTTTGTATTAATTTTAATAAAAGTAATAAAAAGTCAAATTTTATTTACACGTAATAATTTAATTATACTTACGATAATTTTTTAATATCTTGAATAAAGTACGATTTTTAATTGATGCAGCGTATACAGAACACACAAATAATATGCTTCCACAATATAAATAAACATAAAAACCGTGATAAATATGTGGATGAATTTTTTCGGAAATTATTTCGGAAACTGGTAATGCAACGCCTAATATTACTAAAAGTTTGCAATAAAGTGATGATAATGATTTGCTTAATTCGTCACTATAAGAAATAAAATTATTTAGTTCTATTAAAAAAGTCATTTTTTGATATTAAAACGCAATTCAGCTTAAATGTTGTATTTGCTGAATTGTATAGTATAAAAGTAATACCGTAAATTTCAATTCAAAATTTATAAGTAAAAATTTCTTACATTGCAATCTATTATTTATGCATATTGAAAAAAAAATTTGTGCTTAGTATGATAACTTGTCTTATTCAGCAATGCAATTTTCATTGCTTTATAAATAATATTGTAGATTAATTTAATTAGTAATTAATTAAGAAAAGTTTTAATACTTACTCTCCCATTTTTCTATTTTTTCTTTGTGCTAATAACGCTAAATATTCATTTTTTGATCCACCATTTTGTCGAAATTCTTTAGCACTCATATTATTGCTTCCAATAGAATTTAAGGACATTACACTTCCGTTAACATCTTCTTGTACTGATCTTTAAAATATTTCAATGTATTTTATTTTAAAAATTCATTAAACATTATGTTATAATATACCCCATTAGTTTTGGATTTTTTAATTTCCCTTTAATTGTCGCCATTACTGCTGATGGTCTTCTTGTACTCATTATTTCTTGCCAATATACTGATGGTCTTCTTGATATTAACATTTCATTTGGAAATGTTACAGAATTTGAAGATTCATTTCGTTTTATAAGAGCAGAAGATGTTGGATTACTTGTTAATCCACTACCACCGTTAACACCACCACTACCACCACCGGTATTACCAATACCGGATGATGTTGATGGTAAAAAATTATCATTTGGTGATTGAATTGGTGAAACTGATAAATGATTCATTGTAATATGGTCAATTGTTTGATCACAACGGCTACATAATATCTCATTTTCATCTGTTATTGATGATTGTGTTACAAAATTATTATTACATATATGATGATTATAATGCGGATGATGACGATATTCATTAATTGATGTTGATCCTAATTGACGTGCTGATGCTGATTTTGATAATGATGATTTAATTATACCAGTTGGTAAATCATTTGTTTGTCCAGTTGGTGATTGTGATATATTTTGCACTTTATTATCATTGAACTCACTACAAAAGTAAAAATATTGGGGAAAAAAAATGTGTAAATGTTATTTTGTCAAAAATTAGAGAGAAATTAATTGAAATTTTATTTGAAATAGACTTTTTATTCAAAATTAAAAATAAAACACTTGTGATTGTAAAAAGTTAAATTTTATCTTTATTATATTGAATGCCGAAAATAATATCACATTATGTATTTTTATATCTTTACTACTTTTATATCGAAAATTTTCAAGAATCATAAAAATATGTTGGATTGGGTAAACATTGTAATTTTCTTTATAGTATCTGAGGTGGAATGGCATAGTAGTTTTGTTGTTCAGTTTGCAGAGCCTATTCTCGTAGAGTAAGAAAGTTTACACTTATTTTTATCTTCAATTATATGTCTACTTTACATTTATCTAATTCTTTGATTAATACTATACATCTACAAAACATTCACTTATTTTAAAGCAAGAAAAATATGAAACAAAAGATGACGTATACGCGGGACAAGTGTAATAATTATTTGGTAATAACAAGTTTTTTTGTTAAAATACAAACATTATGATTTGCACATTTGTAAGATTATCAAGATCTAGTAGTACAGCATATTATAATTTTGTATTTGAGATTTGGAGTTTTAAATTTTAGTTTCTCATCATATTTTAACTTTTTTCGCAGATCAAGATCCAGGACTCAGACTAACCACAGTTTTCGTTTATTTGACAGGAAACTTTATTACTCGGATAAATTGGTAATTTCATACATTTGAGGTTTCAATTTCCGGGCTAATGTACGGACATTTACTTAGAGACAAACAAAACACTGACACTTACTAAAGGCTTACACTTCGAATCGAGTTAAAGCGAAACTTATGGTTTTCTTGGAAATTTCCGGATTCGCGGAATATCAATTTAAAATATTCAGAAATGTTTCAACTATTCGCTCCTTTGCTCAATTCACTATGAGTAAAATAATTTTTAATTTTCATTGTTATACTCTATTATAGTTGCTCTTTTAAAAAATGAGCTGCTTTTATCAATTTAATTTTAAACACTCACGTATGTATGGTTATTTATAACATTTTATTGCTTAAATAATTCAATTACTTTTTATCAATATTCTTATTTTAAATAAACATTAAACATACCCCAAAACAACACTGTCATATTCTGAATGAATTTCCGACACAAGAACAGAAACTTTCATATAAAAATTTTAAATATTTATTTTTTTTTTAATGAAATTACTTTTAAAATTAAAAAAGAAAAATAACTATAATTTAATTTTTAATTAATTTAATTAATAATTATTTATTTTATTAATTAATTAATAATATCAAAGAATAAAAAGAAATAAAAGAACCGCTTTTATTTATTTTATTGAAATTTCAAAAGCATTTTGAAGTGTAACAATTCGCGTTACACGATACAGGAAGCTTGTATACACAGAAATTGAAAAGCATACTTGCATTTACCTATACGTGTTTTACGTTAGTATACATACATATGCGTATGTGTTACTTATACATTGTAATACAATAGAAAAATTCAAAATAGAAAAATAGAAAAATTCGTGAGACAATTGATTATCACTTGTAAATTTATAATTTTTCAATAATAAGATGCTAATCAATTATATACGGACATTATATTTTCTAATTATTATATTTTCTTCTGTTAAACATAAGAATAAGAAATAAATTTTGATGAGAAAATTGTCTATAAAACTGTTTATGAATTAAGTAATTATAAATTTATTAGCTCTTATTTTTGTATTGGAATTTAGATCGTAATCAAATATGATTTGTATTTGATTTGGAATTAATTAGGCAACAATATTAAAATAATTTTTAACACCAATAACATGCGATAGTAAAATCTGTTTAATATCTGTTTCTAAAAGAAAAATTTAAGAAAATGTTGCCGTTGCAGAAAAAGAAAAATCATTTGAACTGTAACTTGAATACTGTAACTTGAGAATTTGAATTTTTTCCTAAAAAATCGTTAAGTCTTTTGTAAGTAAAAAATTTTGGTATTTCAATACGTAACTACTCATCTATAACTGAAGATTAATTTTTTTCCGAAACTCCGAATTTTTTTTAAAACTCCGAATTTATTCCGAAAAATTGTAAAAAAGCTTTTAAAAAAATTTAATTTATTTCTGAACAACCCCGAATATAATTCAATTGAAAATTAATATTATTTTTATAATTATTGTATGCTAAAAACTTTAATATTTTCAATTAGTAATAAACAATTTTTTTTTTTCTGAAATTTTCAAATTTATTTTGTTTACGTACTCGTATACAATACATAAATTTTTAACACTTTTCTGTGATGTTTCTGACATTTTATTTAAAATAAGAAACCGTTAAGTTTGCTTTTTTAATTTTGATTTTTGTTAAATCGTAAATTAAAAATTTATTAAATTAAACACTTTAAATAATTGCAAATTTATTAATATAATTTTAACAATTACGATTTAATATAAGAATATACACATGTTTATACATGAATAATAAAATTTTCAAAAATTTCCGAAGCTATTGTTCTGTCATTAACACTGTAAGCTTGTATAAAAATATAAATGCAAGCACATTTAGGTGTTATAAGTAAAGGTAAGTATTTATTTATTTTTTTTAAATTTCATTTAATAGGGCAAATATTTGGAAATCATTTTTTATGCCTATGTTAAATAAATCACAATGTAATAATAATAAATTTTTATTAAGGAAATTTTTTATGAAGGAATTTGGAAAATATTCAGATAAGTCTGTATGAATTATTTTTTATTAAATTGATTTACATCTTTTATTAATGACTATTTTCTATTTTAGATAACACTTGGAGCAATACGTCGATTGGTATATACAGTGAGAGAGAAATTTTTTACTCCATACTGTATACTGACAATAATACAAATATTTTTTTTTTTTTAATTTTAATTTTGTTTTTATTATTTTTAGAACGTCGAACTGTCCATTTTATATAAAAAAATCCGGAAGAAATGAAACAAAGAATATGTTTTCTGGAATTTTCGATTTTGTTAAAGAAGATAATGCTCGTCAAAATTAAAATGGAAAATAGACATAGACGAGTGCAACCGAAAATTTATACTAGGGCAAAACTGAACCAGTTAAAATTTGGAATAATGAATTCTTCTATTGGCGCAATAAATTACTTTAATATAAATTTGAATTTAAGTCGAAATAATTTATAAGAATGTCATCTACAAATAATCATTTTAAATTATGTAATATCACACCTACATACCTATATTTATATTTACATAAGTATATTGAATATTAATCCCTTTATAATGTGAACATGCACGTTTAGGAAAGTTCAAGGTTGAAGTTCAAAATTTTAACTTATTTTTTTTTGCCAACTACAAAGTAATTTTTGTTAAAATAATAGATATTTATTAGATTATTTTAAAATGATTAATTAATTCAAATGTTTATGGATGGAAACAATTTCACGCTTATTAATTTTAAAATGTACTTTTTAGATTTTTATGTTAGATTTTTTTTTTTTGGCAAAACATGCTTTTTAAAAATATACATAAATCAAACATGTTCATTGATTCTTTTTAAAACACCATATGAGTACGTATTTAACTTGTACTAAATGAAGCTAACTGCAAAGTTTCTTGTAAAATGAGATCTAACATAAAAAATTTCATTTTTTTTCTAAGAACTTTAGTTTTTAAAGAATTTAAATCTTCTGCAAATTCGGATGAAATACAGAGATTAAGCATAAAATTGTAGGTAAAAAACTAGTTGTAGAAATTTTGTTTTATAAACTATATCAAGTTTCACTTTTAATTTGAAACAGGCAGAGTACTAAACGCAAACTGTTTTCAAAAAATTTAATCATAATAATAATTTGAAAAATAGTTTGAATACTTATGATAGCTGTTTTTGAATTTTTTCTTTTTATAGTAACTTTAATAATAATTTCATTATTATCTCAGAAAATATTCAAGTTAAAGTGGTTAGAATTCCCAAGAAATTATTTTGTAAATAAGTCGAATACTTCAAAAAGTTGTGTATATACCAATAATGGTATTAATTCATATATGATCTGTTCTCGCATACGAATTGCTAGATTTATACATTAATAGCTTCGAAACTACCTATAGAGTTTTTTAATATTTGCTATAAGAAAATTTTAAACTTACTGAAATGTTACATGTGCAGTCATATTATTATTATTAGTTTCCAAAAAATTACAGCATGAATATTATAAAATTAATTCACTATTATAAAAAAATAAATATGTTATGCCAAAAATCATCACTTTTCACTAAATTTAATTAAATTTTATCACAAAGTACTTAAAGAATTAAATAAATTAAATTTTATTTCAATTATATTTTTTGTTTTTAAATAAATTAATAATTTTGTGTAATAAATCTGTAAATTATTTTAGAAAAATTTTAGAAAAATTTTGAAAATGTTTTATTAAATATTAATTTTTTACTAATTCAATGATTTTAATTCCAATTTTCAAGTGTTATTTTTGTTAATAATTACGATCGTTTTACAAAAATCATAATCAAATTTAGAAAATAAATTTAAAATTTAAAAATGATATTTTATTTATAAAATTGAATTAAAAATTTTTATAATTAAATTAAAATTTTTACTTCTATTCCTTAAATGTAGTACACTTGAACTTATTTATTTGCTAGAACAGCATTCTTGCTATTCCAAATTGAAAAATCATAATTTAATTGAAAAATACATTTATTATAGAACTATAATTTAATTATGAAAATACAACAAATACTAAGTAAGTTCGAATCTTAATTGACATGGTTTATTTTTCAATTATCTATATGCAATGTACAATAACAAATTAAGCAGTTGCTTGTTAATTTTATTATTAATTTAGAATTTTAGAATTTAAAAGTTCTTTAATTTTTTTGTTCAAATCATTGATGAATTAAAAATTTATTATAAATACTAGAATAAGAACTAAATTGTATATAATTCTCCTCAATTCACATTCAAAAGA